AGAGTAAAACAGAGTAATGCTATAATGAAGGCATGCAGCTCAATGCCCAAATATGGACATTCATGTTTTCATGACTGCCTAATATTATACTTACAATAGCTTCTTCTGATGCATCTCGCTTACGGCGTTGACTACTCATCTGTTGACTGAGACTGCGTCGATTTATTGTCTTATCATGGCTATTTGTCCAAAAAAGTGTTCTATGACCAAAATGGACATCAATGCTGTCAATTCTTGTACCAGTGCCTCCCACATACATTGAAGAATAACTAGACTGTCCCCCAGTATCAATTTGTCGCAGTTCATTATCATCTGGGATAATTAGGTATGGAAAACTGCCTATGAAATAAAGAAACAGGTTTAACAATAAAATTGAGGGCACTATTTTCAGTGAAAAACTAAACAGGGTGCCTTTTTGTTATTGCCATTTAGGGCACTGTTCTATTTTCAGTTAAAAACTAGAGGCATTATACTGTTAGAAATGGATGTCTTGTCATTTTCAGTGACAAAAATGAGAGTGCTATATTATTTGAAATGAAAACAGTACATTTCCCGCCATGAGCACAATATCATCACCTACAGATAGTAGATTATTATTAATGTTATTACAGTGATGGTCATCTTGCAGTGGGTTCAGTTTGTGTAGAGTATTTTACAACACGATACATCACAATGACTCTTACCCTTTAACTTAATAAAACTAGGAATATTAAAAACTTACCATCTGCTCGGCATGCATGACTCTCTCGTATGAAACCTTCGGCACAAAAACATTCAAAACTTCCCTTTGTGTTGTGACACTCATGGGAACATGTTCCAAATATCTGACATTCATCAATATCTGAAACAGAATCGTCAAGATTCATATCAGTTTTAAGATGCGAAATATAAATGTGTCTGTTATATATCAGTATTCTACTTCTCCCAACATCAACTTGGCAGTGCATAGGATTAGATCCTCGGTGTACTGGTCTTCAAATTGTCATAAAATATGTAAAAATTCGCTGATAGTATTACTTATAAATGTTATGAATGGGTCCCTATACCCATAATATTATGAATTCACCCAAATCAGCTAAATGGCAATTGTCAGTAAAACTGTATGTAATGAACAGTGTTCCAATATGTAAATGAATACTGAAGGCATTAATGATTATTTTGACCAACTCAGAGTTTATGATTCATGGTGCTAAAAAGCTACAAAATGGATAAATAGGACTTCCAA